GATTTTCAAAATCAGGTTTAAAATTGGTTTTTAAACCAGTTTATGATTAGAAATCCAGTTGGTTCAAAGCTAGTTTAAAATCATAAATCAGTTTTTTAAACTAATTTTAACAAAATAAATAATATTAAAATTTATCTTAAATGCAGATTTGTTTATTATTTTTAAATCTGTTTAAAATTCTTGTGAAACCAATTGGGCTTTAAAATCAATTTTAAAATCAATCTAGTTTTAATATATATTTCAAATCATAAACTTATAGAAAACTATAATCAATTTTAAGACTAAATTTTAATTATAATTGCTTTAAAAAACCAGTTTGAAAAGATAACCAACTTTAAAACAGATTTAAAATGTAGACACTTTATCCCTGTCTTTATCCTGTTAACATTAAATGTAAGTATGTTGAAATGGTTATACACATAGATAATAAATTCAGGATATATAATATAAAATCATTATCATTATATAAAAATATAATATATATATCAGAAATGACAGAAATTGGAATAAAAACATTTATATGAACAAAACCTTAGGAAGTCTTGAAAGAGGCATAAGGGCGGGGTAAAGAATATCTGCTCAGTTTGTTACTGCTATAACCTGCAATTGACAAGAATAAATGAGTATGACTATTGAATAAAATAGTCTAAATGAACAAAATCCAGTAAGTTTGGTGTCAACCGTTAAATCTAGTATATTGATATTCGAAATGTTAACATGATGTAAAAGAAATGTGTTAAAATAAAACACCATAAAAATAAAAAAGTAAAATTACGGGACCAGCCCCTAAACATGAGACTTACCAGACTGAAATTTTTTGAAACTTATTTATATCACATCAATCAAGAAAAAACATATAGAAAATAACAAATAACAAATAAAGACAAGCCTTAATTCTGTCATCACTACTGAAACCATCAAGCTAATTGAGCAATTCCAACATTGTTCATTCTAATCGGGAAAATAATTTGTTTGGATGTTCAAAATCAGGTTTAAAATCGGTTTTCAAACCAGTTTATGATTAGAAATCTGGTTGGGTTTCAAAGCTAGGTTAAAAATATAGGTTGGATAGTTAAGGGAAACACCTTTGAGTTTTTCACTGAAATATGCAATAGGGTGCCCACCCTGTAACAAAACCGCCCCTATGCCAACTCCAGAGGCATCACATTCTAACTCAAAAGTTTTTGAAAAATCTGGTAGAGCTAGAAGTGGTGCATGGGTAAGCTTATGCTTCAAGGTTGTGAAGGCAATTTCTTGTTTCTCTCCCATATAAATTTCACATTTTTCTTGACTAAATCATTTAATGGGGAGGCTAGTGTGGAGAAATTAGGAACAAACCTCCTATAGAAGCTTGCCAAACCATGGAAGCTCCTAATATCTCCAACACTTTTAGGAGTGGGCCATTCTTGGATGACTTTGATTTTCTCGGGGTCCACATGAACCCCCTTTTTACTAATTATAAACCCTAGGAAAACAACACTATCTACACAAAAAGTACATTTTTCTAAATTTCCAAAAAGTTTATTTTTCCTAAGAATATCAAAAACTTGCCTTAAGTGTCCTATGTGATCACTTAGGCACCTACTGTAAATGAGAATGTCATCAAAATAAACTACAACAAACTTACCTATACAATCCCTAAGGACATGATTCATGAGACGCATGAATGTACTAGGAGCATTGGTGAGTCCAAAGGGCATCACTAACCACTCATATAATCCAAACTTGGTCCATTACAGACATGTTGATATTGAACAAAAAGGAAAATACTTTTCTCTCTAAGATTGTTAGAAAAATAAATTTAATAGAGCACAATAAAAATAAATATTTAGCTTTATCAATAAAACTAATATCAACGACACAATGAATATTATAAATATTAAAACAGAGCAATCAGTAACAACTAATTAAATACAAAGAGCAAATTAGAATGTTAAATAATAGGTTTAGAGTAGCCTGAGTTGAAGCACGCAGAGCGCTATCCTTAGAGAGAAAACGCCCCCACTGCACTGGTAATTTTGAGTCTTATAGTGCGCTCCTCTCCCAAGATACGTCAACCCGTTAGACCGTTCGAGTGCAGCGAAAGATCCCCGAACCAAAGAACACCGCTCCAAAATTATAATTTTTAGTAGAAATAATATTGAGGAAGAGAAAATATGAACTTGCTGTATAATCTTTTTCTGCTTCGTTTCACGTTCCAGGGTCACTCTATATAAGCACAATATATTTTTAGATAAAGGATGTGCCCACGTTTTGCAAATTTTTCCGGTAACCAAAAAGTGAACGTTGTGTGTGGATGTGCACTAGCTTTTCGGAACAGTGAGTGTACGTGGTACATGTTCAAACCAATTTGAAAGAAAAAACATTACGTGGTTAGGAAGAGAATAAAAACAAAACTGTACCATATCCTCCGTTTTGAAACGTTAAAAAGAAATAATTATATTAAATATTTAATTTAAATTTTAAATTATAAAATAATTTTTTAACAGTTCATTGTTAAGACAATTTTTTATTTATTTTCACAAAATAAAAAAAATTTACTATGCAAATACAAACAAATAATATTACAAAAAAAAATATAAGAACTAAAAAGGTTAAAAAAAATTTCAAGTATCAAGATTAAAAAAAAATCTATAAACTATAAAGAAAAACATACGGTTGGAGAGAAAACATAGAACAAAGGAAGGAAATCATTCAAAACCTCTCAGGATGGAACATCTTGATTCTTGAGTTTAGTTTTCTTTTCTTATGCTTTCAATGTAATGAGAATTGCTCTCAACATCATGAGTAGTTTCTTTTACTTTTTTTTATTATTAAAGTATTTTAAAATTATTTACTTTTTAAAAATAAATATCCACACGTATTAAATAAATGTGTGAAAACCCACACTTAATAGATATTTGTATAGACATGAGAACAAGTACAACTCAAATATTTATCCACCAGAGTAAGTAACGGAGGACTAGTGTGGACATTCCTAAACATAACCATTCTTCCATGTCCTTGAAGTGAAGATTCGTACATATTAAAATATGCAAAAACATGCACATGCCCTTGAAGTGAAGATTCGTACATTAGAATATGCAAAAACATGCACATTCGGCTTAGCTCAAGTAAATCCCACGATAAAGGACAGAAATTTCCTTGATTGTCACTTCCCATTCGTCCTCACCTATGCAGTAACACTCAGTGCCAACATAAAAGCTTAGTGTAGGCAAAAAAGAACCATAACATTTAGCAAGAGCTCTCCAAATCCAAGAAATTCCGAGCCACAAAATCATGTATATAAGAAAATTAACACCAACCCAAGATTAACTATTAGTTACTAGCAAAATGGCTAAAAATCTTATAACTGTTGCATCGGTTTTGGTGTGTGTTTGGACTTGGATGCAAGGCACACATGGTGAGTACTTAATTGGGGTTGGGAGCTATGACATGACTGGTCCTGCTGCTGATGTGAACATGATGGGTTACGCAAACATGGAACAGAACACAGCTGGTATTCATTTCAGGCTAAGAGCAAGGACTTTCATTGTGGCTGAGAGCCTTCAAGGGCCTAGGTTTGTTTTTGTCAATCTTGATGCTGGAATGGCATCTCAGCTTCTTACTATCAAGGTGCTTGAGAGACTTCATTCAAGGTACAACAACAGTTTTGACTCATTTCATATGGCAAACTAAAACCATCACTTGAATATTGCTAAATATACAACATCAACTTGGTAATTGGGCCAGTCAGATCATTCTACATAACACAAATTGATCAAATTAATATACGGATTTAATAACAAATTGATCAAATATACGGATTTAATAATGTATAACTATCTTTTTTTTTTAAAAAAAAAAAAAGTTAACTATACTTATAATAAAGGTGATACAATCAACAAAAATTATCTGGTTGGTGTGAAATAAATTCATACCCTAAAAGGATGTGAATTTAATTTCTATCAATGTAAAAACTTTATTGGTGAATAATTTGTATAAATACTTCTATAAACAATTCTAAATCTTAAAAGTTTGCGTTGACTTTGATTATAATGAATTTATAGGACTCAACTCACCTAAATTTTAATAATAATAATAAAAAAAAAGTGATGCATTTATTTGATGTACACATTTTTTTTTGGTAATATTACTCTTACCATTATAAAATCACACCTCTCATTATCTTTTTATTTTATTTTGTTTTTGTTTTCATTTTTATTTATTTCACTGTAAATTACACTTCAAACCTGCCTCCTCAAGTAACCAAACATTCTATTATTTTTTATCTATATATTTTTTAATTTTTAAAAAAAGTAAAGATATGAGATTTCTATTCGCTAATTATGATTATCTTAAAATAATACGTTTATTATATAATTTATTAATTTACTTCAACCAAAACATAGATGAACGTTGGTGTGGGTTAGCAAGTGTTTATATACACAATTTACTTTTAGAAAATATAATATTAGTAGCTATAACCGTAATTTTCTTAAAACACACGATATAACTTATTAACATACTCAATTAATTACTTAATGAAAATTTTGAGTATAAATTTAACTATTCCACTAGTTGAATTGAAAGTTTATATAAAATCATTTAATTTTATAAAATTTAATGCAAATAAAAAAGTAATTGATATTTTATTATAAGGATTTACTTTAATGGATAATATTTTTTATTTAAAATATAAGTAATTGCTATCGACAATTGTCTAAATTATGCAAAATTTAATATACAATATCCAAAAGATAATACAAAATAATTCAACAGTCCAACAATTAAAATTGTATACTAAAGAAAGTTATTAAGTGCTAAAGTTTGAAATTTTATGTCAATTGATTGTCCCATTAATTATTAGGAAGCATATACGTTCGAGATTATGAGAAAATCTTTTTTATATAGAGAAAAGTAAGTTTATAATAAATTTGGAATATAAAATTATATATATTTCAAGTTGAAAGAAAATGCACAAAATTTTATGTTCAAATTTTGGTGTCTTAATTATAATTTCGATGAATAAATTTTTTTATTAAGTTACTTTTTTGAAAGAAAAAAAAAACCTGACTTTTTGCTTCATGGTTAACTTATTTAAAGGTTTGGAAATTTGTATACCGAACAAAATGTAGCCATCAGTGGGACTCACACGCACGCTGGCCCTGGTGGTTACCTTCAATATGTGGTTTATTCTGTGACCTCTCTGGGTTTTGTGGAACAATCCTTTGATGCCATTGCTAATGCCATAGAACAAAGCATTATTCAAGCTCACAATAACCTTAAGCCTGGTTCCATTTTTATGAATATAGGTAACGTATTTGTGTCTCCATGCTTTATAATCTAACTCAACCTCTTGGATGACTTGTTACTCTATTTTTTATTTTCCATTGATGCCTTAATTAGTTGTTAAATATCTGAGAAATACTACTTTTAAGTTAGTCTATCTTCTTAATTATTTGCTATATCTTTTATGTTAGTTTATTAAATATCTAGTTCCACTATGCTTAGTGAGATTTACATAAAATTTATTTAAAAATAAAATAACCTATAAAATAAAATCTAGCTAATGATTCTTTAAATAAAATTTGGGAAAATCTTACATGCAATATCACAAGTTCTTTTAGCCAATATGATGTGACATAATTTGCAAATGATCTTGTCTCTAAAACAATGGTAGGTCAGTGGTTCAACTTTCAAGTTAGTATGTATAGAAAAACAATCTTGAAAGAGATCAATTTATAGAGAGTATACTTGGAACTCATTTTTCTTCTCTCTCCACATTGAGATGTCTAATTTATTACTATTTCTTACTTTCAAATGGACATGAATTTGATTGATTCAAACACCGAAGAAAACATGCCATGAGTGAATTTGAATAAGTAGAAAAATGTTTGATCATTTCTTTTAAAATACACGCAAGTATAACTCGTTAACTTACTCCAATTAAAAAATAAATGAGTGTAAGTTAGCTCCCTTCACATAGATATATAAGTAGAAAAATGTTAGCAACACATTTTGTGACACTCTTTTAAACATATAATTTCTAGTTGATTCAAATTTATTAGAAAATATAAAATTTGGTGGATTTCATGCCCAATTTAATGACTCTCTTTTTTTCTTCTTAATTTTATAATTTTCAATAAATTTTGACCAATGTGAGTAAATATATTAAGAGGAGTGTGTAAGTATGTTAGAGAATGTGTTGCTAGCATTTTTCATATAACTATTATTATATAGAAAAGTCAAAGTTGTAAATGTTAGAGAAGCCATAAGGTTATTGATATCTTAAAATGAAATAGGGTGGTTCAATTCAAAGTAGTAAATGTTAGACAAGCCATAAGGTTTTTGATTTCCAAAAGTGAAATAGGGTAGGATAGCTTGCACAGGATCTAGAAGTTCTAATATCTTGCTTTTTCTGGTTTCTGTAGGAGATGTGAAGGACGCGGGTATAAACAGGAGTCCGAGTGCATATCTGCAAAACCCTGCAGAGGAGAGAGCAAGATATCCCACTAATGTTGACACACAAATGACCCTTTTGAGGTTTATGGATGGAGCAAGTGGTAAAAGTATTGGAGCATTTAGCTGGTTTGCAACACATGGTACCTCTATGAGCAGAGACAACAAGCTAATTAGCGGAGATAACAAGGGTGTTGCTGCAAGACTTTTTGAGGATTGGTTTGCTTCTCAAAATAAATCTTCATCCTCAAACACCAATTCCACAGAACCAGGTATCAAAAACTTTAGGGGTAATTACATTTACTTCTCTTAAAGTTGATGCTAATTAGGTTGACACTCCATGTTTTTAAAATTATAGAAAACTTCCCTTCGCTACTTCTTCATTTTTTTAAACATTGTAATCAAACTTGGTATCAAAAAATTTAGAACAACTTACATACCTTGCTTACTTAACTAATTGAACTAGATTCTCTTCATCTTGTTTTTCCCTATATTTATATGCAAACGACATGCACAATAAGTAATTTTAAGAGGAGAAAATATGTTATGCATTAACAATTTATATTGTCATATAAGAAGCACAAATAGTGAGACACATTTACAGAATGTCATGTTAGCATGTTTGACACATTTTGAACATGACAATTTTCAATCATGCTTTGGACATGTGTCCAACACCTCTCCATTGTGTCACAATTTTGGTTTTGATTTGGATACCTCTTCGATACACCTTGAACATTTATTTGACATGACTTGAACACCTTCCGTCATGACTTGGATGAGTTAAGAAAGTGAACCAATACCTACTCTTGGCTAAACATTTATCCAACACTCCCATTACAAAAAAAAAAAAAACAAATTCAACTTGTTTTTATAAATATTATAAGGCACATGATGTTTATATATATATATATATATATATATATATATAAGGAGGGTTCAAACGACACCGGTGTATCTTTTACTAAGTGTT